GAGGGAGGGAGGGTACCAAAGAGAGAGAGAGAGAGAGAGATCCATTCACATCAAGTGTTTCTGTTACTTCCTGCCCTCTTCAATACATCGCAACCTCTTTCTTTAGGTCTGAATAAATTAAAATCATTACATAACCCCCCCCCCCCCCCCCCCCTGTCACCGCCCCCCCCTGCATCTTCAACATCTCATACCTGGCCTGATCAACTGACACACACACACAGATGCCGACATCACAATAATGTGTGTATCAGCTGTAACGACCAACAGTGAAAGATCACAGAAACTGTTCAACAGCAGAATCTGGATTTGGGTCAATGGAAATGAATGCAGTGAAAAAAAAAAACCTGCACACACACACACAGACAGACACACACAGACACACACACAGACACGTGTGACAGCACCATCCGTGTCCATCCCAGTTCTACATGGTTAAAAATGATAATAAATAAATAAAAACAACAACAACAACAACCTGGGAAGTGAAGGTCTGACATCCTGACTTTAGCGGTGGTTGCAGCGCTGCACGTCAACACTCACTGCACTGGCAGCTCCACTGCATTCCAACATCCTCTCCTATCACTATCCACAGCACAGCTGCACCAAAACACCTACAGCATCCCTGAGCGTGCACGACCGACACACACACACAGACACACACACACACCTCTGGCCAGCCTTACCATGTTGGTGACATGTAACTGTTCGGAGAGCGTATGCATGGAGAAATCCGGCTCACGCAATCATGATAATTAAATCCCTTCAGAAAAGAGGTGGAGATGTGACGATCCTCCACCAGAGCCGAGTGCCTGCGATGTTGAGTAACAAGGTGGTGTATTCCAGGAGAGAGGCTCCTCGCTTCGACGCACTGAGTGAGCGTCTTGGTCCGTCCTCCCTGTGTCTACCAACCCTGTTATGTAATGCACTTTTTCCACGAGTCTGAGGGCCAATCAAAGACACACTGACAAAGAGCACACACACACGCTCACACACACATGCTCACACACACCGCTGTCGCACTCTTGCACGCACCGGGTGCACACGCCGACACATCTGACTGCGGAGCGTTTAATGGATCTCCACCAGAAGACACCTGCCCTGCAGGGGACACCGGCGCGTCGACACCTGAGACAGACGTGTTCAGGGCTCCCAATCAAACACTAACTACAGACCTCATGAAACTGACTCTCTCTCACACACACACACACACACAGACACACACTGGATTTGTCTTCAGTGAGTCCTTCACATACACATATAATCCTGACCTTTAAAATTAACTGGAACAAAAATATTCCTGCCCTCAGTCTTTACCCAAACTATAATCTGGACCAGAATTATAATCCCAACACCAAAACAAACCTTGAACCTCAAAATAACCCCTCACTCTGTGGGAACCTGCAAAATGTCCCAACGAGGACAAAGTGTTCCTAAAGACACTTTTGTCCCCACAACTATAGCTACACCAGGAACACACACACACACACACCGGTACCCACGTTACCTCTAAACATGCAGAGGTCACCGACAACATTTAAGCCATGACCCGCAGAGTGTGTAACTTTATGAGCGGATGATGGCGTTCTACACGGGGTCCCTGTCCTCGTCCCCATGACACCTGTCCACAGGTGGAGGGTGACGGAGCACGGCTGCCAAACAGTCCTTTTCACACTTACAGTATTTGCCACTTAACTGCACACAAAGGCGTACAGCACTTAGCCAGAGAGAGGGAGAGAGAGAGAGAGAGGGAGAGAGAGTGGGTGAGGGAGCATCTTCAGCCTGCCATCTTGCTATAAATAGGACCGTCATGGACAGCTCTGGGAGAGCTTTCAGAATATCTATTTATGACGTTCATTCAACATTCATGACACCTGCGTAAATCCAATTTTTTTTTTTTTTTAAGCTCATGTCGTGGATGTGAAGGCAACAGGAAACAGTTTATTTTATTGTAAATCTCACTCAGTCCAGTCTGTGCTTTAGATGAGAGTTAACGATGCATTCATTTACTGTCGTTGTCAGGATTGAGAGGCCAGTTTACTGATGTGTATGTGTGTGTGTACGGGGGTGAGGGGGGGGGCTCAGCTCAGTGACAGGTGTCACACCGAAATGATGCAAATGGGAGAAATGTGATTAGTGAGGGCTGTGAAATGGGAGCTGAGTTTAGCTGCATCTAAAATGGGGGAAACACTGGAGTGATGGAGGACCAGCGTCCTGAGGCCTACGTCTGCCTGGTACTAGTTACTAGTTAGTCTTGGAACCAGAACCACACTAAGACCCCCCCACCCCTGGAGCTCTGTGATCAGCAGCATAAAGCCCTGACTCTCAGCACTTTCTGCTTCTAACACCCCCCTCTGCTTCAGGACCCAGAGAGAGAGAGAGACAGAGAGAGCTCTGCTCTGCTCTGCTCAGCTGCTAGCCTCCATGTTGTAGATGTGGCTACGACGGAAACCAGAGAGTCCAGAGGCTTCAGAGGGCCCCGGCTCTTCACACACCACATTTCTGACGCATTTTATACTCATTCATCTGTAACAACTGGAAGCCATGCGCATCAGCCACAGTGTACGACATGGAGCAGGGAGGAGAGGTGACCCAGTCACCACCACCACAGAGTCGGACTAGAGCATCACA